AACGGCATACCATCCGCAGACCAACGGGTTGACGGAGCGGCTCAACAAAACAATCGCCGACATGGTCTCTATGTACGTCGACGTGGAGCACAAGACCTGGGACGAAGTGCTGCCCTACGTCACGTTCGCCTACAACACAGCAGTGCAAGAGACCACAGGAGTGACGCCCTTCCAGCTGGTGTATGGCCGGGCGGTGACGACTATGCTAGACTCTATGTTGCCGCACGAGTCAGTCCACGACGGGAGCGATGACGCCCAGGTGGTTGCTCAACGGGCAGAAGAGGTCCGCCAGCTAGCCAGACTACGAATTCAAGACCAGCAACATGTCGACGCTCGCCGGTATAATCTTCGTCACCGCGACGTCCACTTCCAGCCCGGAGACAGAGTTTGGGTGTGGACGCCGATTCGTCGTCGCGGTCTCAGCGAAAAACTCCTGAAGCGCTACTTTGGCCCCTACAAGATCATCCGACGCCTCGGCGATCTGAACTACGAAGTTCTACCCGACGGAACGCGCCCATCTGCAAGACGTCAGCCGCGACCCGAGGTGGTGCATGTCGTCCGGCTGAAGCCGTATTACGAACGATAGGACTCTACCACTCTCATCGACGAGTGAACTGTGGACTGTGAACTCCGGCTAGCAATTCTGCTGTCCTTTTGTTTTTCGTTTTCCGTTTTTGTGCTGCATCGGGACGATGCACTTTTAAAGGGGGGGATAATGCCGCGCCCAGGGCTGAGAAAGCAACGCTCGGTCAGGGACCTCCAGAAAGTTCTCGTTTATTCATGTACCGCACGTAACTGCTATCATTTATTCCTGCTTTTGTTTTCTAGAAAGTGCGTGTTCATTCTCACCCGATCACGCGACGCTCGAGCCGCTTTCGGCGAATCTTCGAGATAGCGACGCACTCTAGATAAGAGGCCGCCCGCGACCTTGTCAAGTCAGTTTTTCGCCCCAGCGTTCGACTCTGCTGACACGCCGACTTCGACGCCCGCGACGCTCTGCTTTCTTCTGTTTCCTTCTTTATTTTTGGCACAAGTTCGCCACATTAAACGTTTATTTATTTCTGTTTATTTCTTGTTTATTGGTCACCACCCGTGACATTCTGGTGGAGGTCCCTGACCGAGCGTTGCTTTCTCAGCCCTGGGCGCGGCAATATCATCAGACGCCTATCCCGCTTGCACCGTCGTGTACCCAGTGGCAGGAAGTGATTGCGGTAGCGTTCGGCTTTCTCACACGGATGTTGTTTTAGTATCGTGTTATGTGCGACCCTACAGTGAGGAAGTGGCTCGCCTTCGCCTCGGCCGGCTGCGCCATCTTCGCCGTGCGTACCCTGGACGCCCGGTATTGGTAGCCGGTCACTTTAATGCCCCACATATGGCTTGGGGCTATTCCTTCAAGAGTGCACGAGGTCAATTGGTGATGATACTTTTGTGGATGCTCAATTCGCACTCCCAGGTCGCTCCACGCCGACTCGACGGGGGACTTACCCGCGTGCTTCGCCCTTTTTCCCCGACCTGGCGTGGTGGCTTGGCCACGTCCCCGTCAGTTGGCATCGAGTACCGGACTGTTGGGTTAGCGATCATCATCCTTTCCATCTGGGTCGGCATCCGGGTCGCACCCGCTGTCTCCCCCGCCTGTGTCGTGTGACGAATTGGAACTTGTTCCGCTCTCTGCTCAGTTCGTCCTTGTCATCAAGTCTACAGGGTCAACCTAGGGAGCTACTCACTCTTATCTGCGCTGTGGTCTCTGATGTTACTCGGAGCAATTGGGTGAATGAGTCCCGCCCAGCACCGGATCTCCATCTTCTTTGTCTATGGGATGAGCGTAGCCAGGCGAAGGATGCTGTCTCCTGCGCCCCGCATTCTATCGCGGCTCTCTGTCACCTCAAACTCCTCACTGCTGCGGCTCGGCGCCACGAAAAGTGGCTCTCTTGCAGTCGTTGGTTGGACTGGGGCGTGTCCTTGGCCCCTCCACCACTACGGCCTCGGTGTGCGTACCCACTGCACAATGAAGCGGGGAGTGCCCCCCCCCCCCCCCCCCCCCCTTTGATTAGGCCTCCAGCGCCTGTCTGGCCTCCAGACGTGACCGCCGCAATTTGCACCTGAGGTTGCCCATTCTTTTTTTCCGGACTTCGACTTCCCGCTCTCCCTGTTACTCGCTCTTCTACCCTTCCTACGCGCGCGTGAGGAGTTCCAGTAGTCTCCTACCCTGATGGTGTCCAAGAGCCCTTCACCATGGCTGAGCTACTTGCCGCGATTGACTACGCTTCAGCACCGACTGCCACCGGCCCAGATGGTGTCCCTTGCGAGGTCTTTATTAACATGGAAGGGCAGGCCCTGCGATGGCTTCTAGGCACACTGAATGCTGTTTGGATTTCCGGGTATGTACCTGCCGTTAGTAAACATGCGGAGATAATTGCCATTCCCAAGCCTGGCAAATCCTCTGGTTTTCTTTCGAATCTTCGGCCTGTGGCTACCAAGTTTTAAATGGCTCTCACCTAGACTCTATTCAAGCTCCTTGAACATGTGGTGACCACGCGCCTCAGTTGGTGGCTTGAGCACTTTCGATGGTGCCACCCAGCCCAGACTGCATTTCGGTCCCACTTGGGTACCGAGGACGGCCTGGAACATCTCTCTGCTGCGGAGCTCTTGGGCGACCGCTCCCACCGTGTACGCACGCTTCTCGGCATGGATGTACACCGGGTATACGAGAACGTGAGCCACGAGGCTATTCTGCGCATTCTTCAGTGGCTCCGCATTCCTGACCGTGTCTGCTTCTTTTCGGTACGTCTGGACGGGCCAGCTATGGACTCTACGCCGGAGCGGGGGATACCGCAGGGTTCTGTACTTGCACTTTTACCGCTGCTGTGGGACCTTTCAGCTATCCCGGCTGTTCACTTCCTAATATGTGCGGATGATGTAAACGTGTGGACTTCCCATCCCTCTCTGGAACGCCAGACACAGGGCTTGCAGGCGGCGTTTTGCAAGCCCTGTGCAAGCCTTGGGTGCTTTTGGGCAGACCCATAGGAGTGCTCCTGCTACGGATCTCACCGTGCTTCCTCCTCCTACATTAACGCCTGCGGACGCTGACCTGCGGGATTGACTGCGTCGCAGCTCCATACAGCCTTGTTTGCCCCTCCTTTCCAGCCGCAAACGGAACGTGTTCGTACCACCTGAGCACCCCCCTACCCTCTGTGCTGGCCAAGTTTTTGGCCCTCCGTGATGGCCTGACCGCTCTTATACCTGTCCATCGCAGCTCGTCACCCTCTCTCTGTGTCTTTTTTTTACACCGACACGATGCAGGCTGTTCGCACCCTCCTTCGCGTCGACCGCTCCTTGAGTGCTGCTACCTACAGATTTTCATAGTTTTGTGCCACAGTGCCCCTGCCCTGTTCAAGTCTGCAGTATTCGCAGGTCATAGTGTCCCCACTCACGCCGCGGCAGACGAAGCCTGTCCCCCTCGGATGGTGGTAAACTCCCTCCCTTTTCTCCAATTGCCAGTTACGGGTGCTCTGGGAATTCACAAGGAAACTCTGCGGCGCACCACACGAGCACTTATGGTTCCGACCTCCCGTGTTGTCTTACCCGCCTAGAAGAGGTCTCGTTCTGAAGAGTTCGAGTTAATGCGACCATAACACAGGTTGTCCGTGCCAGTTGGAGTTACACCACGGCCTCCACCCGCTGTCCCTTCTGCCCCTCCACAGCCCGGGAGGCGGATCTCCTTCACCTACTCTGGACGTGGCCGGGCCTTCAAGCGGCCCATCGGTGACATCTTAGTCGGGTCGGCCTTCACCCCAACCGGTCATCAGACTTTCAGCGCTGGATTCATGACCCGTGCCATCGCATTCTCCTAGATATTTTTCATGAAATTGGACTACATTTGTACATTTAACCCTATTTCTTTTCTTATACCATAAGGCACACACACGTAATAATAATCAAAAAGTGCTTAGATAGAAAGAAGACCTGTTGATTATTTTTCATAGTTCAGCGGGTCTCTGCTACATGTGTCAAAAACCAACAAGAGGGCTTTATAATCTCGATTCCACAACACCTCACGAACAGTAAACTTTAAGAAGGCTGCTGAACTTCTGTTGCAGCGAGGTGACGTCGCTGGTTCCAGCGTCCCCATTAATGGTGACTGTTAATTTGTAGTGATTGTTCCTTTTTAAATGGTGTCACCGAGAAATGTCTTCAGCATACTGAACCATCACACATATATGTCATAGCGCTTAGAGTTTGTAGGTCTTTCCCATCGATAATCTTCGGGGGTTGTCGTCTACATTCGTGTCATTAAGAAATGCCCCCAACCGTCCAGATCAGTGCCTTCAGATATTTTTGTTCAAGGACGACCGTGAGATCTGTCCATATCGAGGACATACCAGAGACTAGCAAAAAGGCAAAGCATCCCACAAAGCTTCACAGTTGGCCAACACGAGTGCAGTGATGTTTGCTTTACAAACAGAACGTTCTAGAAGTGTCAGAGACGTAGCTTCTTCATGGCCGATTACGGTATCCAAGCACTGGTTGCCGTCTTGCTGTATGTTCTTTTCCCGTCAGCCGGCCAGCCTACTTCTCGTGCATCAGGCAAAATACACGGTGTTGGGTGCATACGTGACGACAGAATTATCTGCTGTTTTGGTTTAAGCATGTTCGAAGGACATGCTTTAGACAATGTCTGCAGTCTTTTGCATGACGTATTAACAGTAGGGAGTTTTAGTAGACCGTATTTCCCCCTCCGCTAAGCCCCTCCGCTACCCGGAACTCTACAGCCAAGGCCATCAGCAGGCAGGCGCAGTGGCGGTTTCTTCGTAGCGGAGGGATAGCGGAAGGGGAAACACGGTCTACTAAAACTCTCTAGTGTGACCGTGGCCGTAGTCTTGTTCACAACAACGTAATTCAACACATCTGGGGCAACCTGCACGTCGACGCTGAAGAGCGACGTAAGTGCGTGTCCATGTCAAGCGTCATTTTAGCGGACCGTCGCGTCTTTCCCAATGCAGGCTTTAACCCTCAGTGGGACGAGACCTTCGAGCTCCCGATCCGCGTCCCCCAGCTTGCCATGGTGATGTTCACGGTCAAGGACGAGAGCCGCATGGGCAAGAACATGAAGCTGGCCAAGTTCGCGCTGCCCTTCGATGCCGTCAAGGAGGGCTATCGCCATGTGCACCTCCGCAACAATGCCTTCCTGTCCCTGGTGCCGGCCAGCATCTTCGTCCACGTCAGCATCAGGAAGTGAAGCGTCGGCTGGGAAAATACCGCGTTCGCTGCTCATTGTGCTGTTTAGAGTCACTCTATACGCTCAGAGTATCGCCACTCTTTTTCCTCAGTTCTGGAAGCCGCCAGGAAGGTCATTGGTGTGTTCGCGTGACGTGACATTCGTTTACGTGCCAGGGTGGCCAGGGACTCGTGGCAGTACGGGTAAAATACCGCCTACCTAGAAGACAACCCACCTCAAACGTCCTCAATAGTGAATCTAGGCTGCGCCGTATAGCTTGCGTCAGCGTAGCCATAAGCACGTTTTGTAGCGTCTCTGAACGACCGCGACGCTAGCACGCGGTAACGCTAAGACGGACGCGTCTGCCACTTTGCGTCTACTCTCGCCGAGCTTCAGCGTGTCTACCGCTTGGGGCGGGTCGGGGATCCACTAACGGTGACGTCACGCGCAGACGTTGGCAGGTGGTAATGCTCGTGGGCACCGCATTTATTAGTGCTTGGAGTTATTGTACTGAAATGTCATTTCTTGATCGGTGTACACGCTGTGTTTGGAGTTCATCGCATTATCGTATCGCTATGTTGTGTACTGCTTTAACAGGCAGGACGACACAAAGTGCCTCTTTGCATCGTCCGTTAGTTGAGTAGGCAGAAGCCGGCGACAAATGCCAACATTGATTGTGTGCACCAATATGGCTGACCTGTCTTTACTCTACAGCGGAGCGTATTCAGCGACTGTGGCCCTGGAGATGCGATCCTTGTACAAATTGCAAAAGTGTCAGTCCGGATGGAACTCGCAGCTTTCAGGGATCTAAAAAAAAAAAAAAAACTTTAAAAGGCTCAGCTATTTTTTTTTTTTTACTTTTCCCGTTTGTTGTTGCTTTGATGGTTGTTATGCAGGACACTCGACTTTAAAGGGAGGGAAAAAAAATCCCGCTGAATAGCAGCTTTAGAGTAGACGCACCAGCTAGCAGAAGATGCTACGCATAAGCTCGCGGGATTTGAATTTTTTTTTTCCCGCACTCGGGCGTTCTGCCGTCTTTTCCTGGAAAATCAGAGGACGTATACGTGTCTTTTATTCCGTCTCACGAGTTGTGCGTCACACAAGCGCGAGTGCGCTCAGTAAAATCATTCTTGTACGGAACGGCGTTCCTCGAAAGCGTTCCTTTTAAACGGAACAGAGAGCCACCGTTTCATCTTACATCGGTAGAACTGAAATGGGAGCTCTTTACGTTTTCACAGAAACGTCACTTTTTTTTGTTGTCGTATTTATCCACAATTTTAGCCGAATTTAGTGAGTATTTAAGATTCTCATTAAAGACTGTTTCAAGCTCCGATAGTTGAACAAAGAATTGGAACTAAGTCGACGCGTTGGTTCGACGTGGTTATTTCCATTCGCGAGCTTTATTTTATCTACCAGGCAAAATATATTATTACTTAGGCAAATTGAACGTTACAGTAACGACGCCCTCCAACCTTAGAAATGCAACGGGAACGCGTTCCTTTTAAATCACTGTAACTTGCGCCGGGAACTCGTTTCAAGACTGAGAAGGAACGAGGAATCAGCTTTCGTTCTTATTTTAGCGGAACGCGGAAAAACACTGGGGAAACTGCGTTCTTTTCACAAGCGCTCGCCAGACATACACACACATACATACATCAGACACAAAGAAAACTCTATCATTTCAAGCGCTCGGATAGCGCTTGTTTGACACCGAACAAGCATCAAGTCGGACTGTTAGCTTTTTAACGTTTTATCTTGGTTGTTAAGAAGACGAGACGACACATTCCTTCCAGCGTGAACTATCGTTTCGGCTTTTCGTCGACACTCTTGTTTTTAATGCGGTTAAATCCGCGCTTCGCCCAGGTAATCGTCAGGTGTCCGCCTGGTAAAGCGCCTGACTAACCTTGGAAACTATATGTTTGTTGTATTCCGTTAGTATTTGTAGCACAGAAGCATTTCATTGCGATTTTGTTTTTTCGCATTGCACGTGGAGATCATTATTTGTCTCGAAGGGTCACATATTTTGTTTTCGTTCATTTCCCAAGTTGTTCTCGCACTTCACAGAGTTGTGCAACCGCACGCCCGCGGCGGCTTTGTTATCGATCGTTAAATAACCCCAAAGTGCAAGCCGAGGAAACCAATTATCGAGTAATGGGCGTGTTGTTTCCGCCTGTTCCTCTTCTGCGTGCCAAATAAAAACATTGTTGTTTTCGTCGAAGGGAGAGGGACTGCGTTCACGACACGTGCACGAACGTCGTTACTCGTTTGGTTTGTTGCGACCGAAACCCGCGAGCACCGTTCACGTCTCCGCCGGAGCATTCCGCGGAGTCGTATTTCCACTTGTACATATATAGTACGTGGAATTGTATTCAAGAGCACATCCGTCGTCTGCAAAGATGCAATGTACTACATTCATGCGCGCATACTAGAAAGTCTTCGCCAACCATGGTTAATCAATTGCTCGCCGACCACCTTCATCGTTACCTGCAGGGAGCGTTTTATTCGTCGCTGTTTACGCCTAGATAATGTCTTCTTATGTCTGGGAAGAACGGGATGAAAGAAGACTGTACGGACTCATTCGAGCCGCGGTCATGCTGCTCCTACCAAAAGGCACGCTCGGCAGACGTGATGCCAGATTTATCCGCGGACGCACCTCGAGCACGTTTGAAGCAGTAAGCTTCATACATATATGTAGGCTCTTCGAACACGTCTATAGAGACCGTATATGTATGGATGTATGACCAATGTGACAGAGCTGTCATTCGAGGAAGAAACGCGCGTCATACAGTGTCAGGAGACTGTTCTCTATATGACGTATTAGCAGCTGTATGACCGCGGCTTTCTCGTTTGCATCGTTTGCGGGGAACGAGACTAGCCCATAGGCCCCCTTCATAATCACAAAGCCCGGCAGTTCGACGACGGAACCATAGAGTGCCCGGCCGCAGATTTGGAGCGCGAGGATCTGCTAGCATAGAGCATCCAAGAGTCAGTTGTCGGGGAACCTGGACGTCAGCGCACAGCTTTTGCGGCGGCGAGAACAGTAAACACGCTTGTTCGCTCGGGAGAAGTGTGTTTCGGCGTCTCGCCGCAGCGGGGCGCCAGTCACGTGGCTCTCCTCTCATCCGTTGTCTGCCGCTCCACTTTCTTCCGTTTCGGCGGCCGCTTCCCGTGGCGATCTGCCAGGCTTTGTCAGTATATAGGAGGCTATCGCACGACGTAAGGCACGGAGCACGTGCTGGACACCGGACGCTCGAAAGGCACGCCCCGCCGTTCTTGTTCCATCGATGACTACCGCTACATAGGCCACGCTCGGAGTATCGACGATGTAGTCGTTGGACGCCATATCTGCGTGCCCCGTTCACCGCGCATGCTCGTAGGGGGCTCATATTTGTTGGCCGCTATGACCGGTATTCTCGATCGTGTGGAATGCACGTCGCGCAAGAACCGCGGAAGCTCGCTATCGGAACGCGCTCGGCAGCTGCGGACACGGCTATGGCCGCCAGTGAATACCCCCTGTACATTTCTAGACTTTCTTGTGGGCGCCGCCATCTCGGTGCATTAGAGTGCACAGCGGCCGCAACGGACCACTTCCGAAAGCTCATCGGGCAACATTGGCGGTCGCCATTGCTAGGACACGAAGCACGCGATTGGATCCGAGTCCTCGCCGAACGCCGACGTCACACTCGTATCATATACGAGCTGAGCCGAGCTCACGCCGAATGCCGACGCAGACTTCGTGTCCAAGACACGCCTAAAAGGTGTAAAACTGCGCAGCAGACGAGGGACGAGAAGTAGGAGGACATAGACACAGCGCTGACTCTCAACTAAATTCTATTAGTCGTAACCTCACAATAAATACTTAATTGGTCAGGAAAAAAAAAAACACGAAAAGATACGACGGCTATGCCTAAACTATATACACCGTAATCGCAAAAAAAAAAAAGAGAGAAAAAAAAAAGTATCTCAGGCGCACGTACAAGGAAATCTATTTCCTTGCCATATAAGGCAAGAGACGGGCAGCTGACACACAGAGCGAAAGATCTAGGTAGCTACAATGCCTCGATAATTTCACGTGTCATTTGATCACAATGGCGTTTCACTATTTCACTTCGCTGGAACTCTGGAATACCGCCGGTTGTTGTCTGAATGAAAGACTCAAAAAGTGAAAAGCCATCATGATCAAATGAGACGTAAAATTATGGAGGCGTTTGAAATATTTATAATAACTGGGTTGTGTGTATATTTATGCAGCCTAGAACTTGGTCTGCCTCAACGGGTGACGAGTCTCCCAGCCGTAGATGAGAAATTTAGCCAGTGCAGTACCAGCTCTAGCCTGGGGTCTTTTACGTGCACCACGCAGTAGTGATACATGACCGCACGCCGGTACACGATGCTCATCCAGATCGAAACGGGCAGGGATGGGGATTCAATCTAGGATTTCTGGGATTGAGGACCCAAGGATCCAGGATTTCCTGCACGTGGAGGGAATCCTGGACGTGCAGAGGCTGCATGTGCTGCGTGTGCTCCGAGTTGGTGTGCGCTATGGCGCACTCGGCCACCGATCCCCCTTAGAGATACCGAGATTAGGCGCTGATAGAGCCACTAAATAAGCTGCGCTTAGAGTATCGGCACTCCGTTCCCCGACATTGTTGTGGGCGCCGCCATTTTGGCTCGTATGCAGAGCAGACGCAACTGTCGATCGTCATGATACAAAAGTGCGACTTAATCAGCATTAGACTCGGTGTTAGGAAAGTCATGCATTATTGCTTTGCTCTGTCGGGAACTGTTTAAACATTTGTGGAGCGCGGAAAAGCGTTTCCTGTGAATTCAGATGAAGCTTCAGATAACTGGCAACCATGATTTTAAGCCACAATATGGCCAAGTGTCGTTACTCTGAAGCGTAGCTTATTTAGTGGCACTAGGCGCTGAGTGTGTCAGATGCCCGTCTATTGCCGTATGGCTGGGAAATAGAATTCCTTGTACATGACTAGTGTAGAACCTGCGCGTGCGATCCGTTTTTTTTTTTTTTGTGCTTACGATGTATATTGTTTAAACATGACTGACTACATTTTCGTGTTCATATGTGTGTGTGTGTGTGTGTGTGTGTTTTCCTGACCAAGCAAATATTTATTGTGCGGTTACGACCATTACAATTTTGGGGATCTGTCTGTGGCCTCCTACTTCTCGTCCCTCGTCTGTTGCACTGTTGTACACCTTTTAATATGTCTCACCACCTAGCCCAAGCTTCGACCTTAGCCGATACGTGCCCAGAGGATGTGATCGATCAAGCAATAGCGGAAAGCTTGTTAAAACAGAAGTTCGGGCGAGTTGGTAGTTCATGACGCACGAGGACACAGCGCACCCGTAACAAACACTAGGACAACGTTCACAGTCACACCAAAAGAAAGGGACACTTACACAGCGCTGTGTAAGTGTCCCTTTCTTTTGGTGTGACTGTGAACGTTGTCCTAGTGTTTGTTACGGGTGCGCTGTGTCCTCGAGCGGAAAGCTGTCAGAAAGCTCGGGCGATTCGGTTTTGCTTTGTCGCGGACCGTTCTAACATTTATAGAGAACGTAAAAGCGTTTCTTTCTATTCCAAATAAAGCTTACGTTAGCTGGCAACAATTATTCCAAGCACCAAGATGGCTGGAGGGTCGTTACTCTGAAGCCTAGCTCTATTCGTGGCTGTTGTTGTCACGCCACATGGGGCAACCCAACGTTTACAAGTATACACTCGTGTTTACACACTTGAACTACCGGCATCTGAATGTGTCTGGCGCAAATAATTTAAATAATAAATTTAAACAAATAAGTATTACGGGAGCGCCTTTTGCCGCGTGGCCTTCGCTGCTGTCCATGGGAGCATTGTTTCTGCACCAGAGTTCCATGCTTGGCGTTTTTGTGTGTTCATCAGGCTTTAGTTGCCAGAGTGCCTATCGTCGCCAGTTTCAATTTGATACGTTTTGCTTCAAGCTCGTATTAAATTGTGGTCTCAAAAGAAATGTTCATCCTTGTGCGTCTGTTGGTTGTTCTTACACGAATGCCTGAGGCTGCTCCTCTTTGTTTCGGAGTCAACGTATACCTGTGGGAGGAAACGCGCATTCACATATGTAAATATGTTCTTTTCGGGTTGAGACCGAGGGACGTTGAGAAACGTTGTAGACGAAAGGAGGCGTTGGGTAAAGTAAGAAAGGACAATATATATATATATATTTTTTTTTCAGAAATGGCACTGGACGAGCATCCAAGTTTACCGCCTTAGTTGGACGTCACGAATCAACAATTTCTAGCCCTCTACAGTCACTCACATAATTAGAACGGCAGGTAGCTTCTTCGTGGCAGTGATTATTGACCAGCTTCTGGCTGGTGCCTTTTTCAGCCTATACGTGCGTATGGCTCGTGATTAGCTCGCTTTTCAAAGCGACGAACACGCGCGTTCTGGCTTGTGAAAATCGCACGCTAAGCTAATGATTTGCAAACAGGGGAACAAAATGTGTGTATGCTTGTACAGCCGGAAGTGAGTGTGCCTCGGTGGGCGTCTGGTGTCTCAGCTGTAGATGAGCAATTTAGCCAGTGTGGTAACAGGAAAATGGTATATAGCGATTTCGACGGCAACCTTCCAGTTCGGAAAGAAAAAAGAACTATTGCATATTTATTTTAGGAGCTATGTTACTAATGGCGACGTTGCTAGTGTGTAGTGGAACTGGGAGGTGTGCCGACTGTGTCGGCCTCTCCATAGGAGCTGGGTGTCGTGTGGTTCAATTCTGCCACAGGGGCCTGGGGTGGGGGTGCCAGTCACAGCGGGGCCAAGAGGTAGGTCGGGCAGCGTTTAGCGAGGCTGGCTTGGGGCGTGTTTGTTTCTTCTTGTTTTGCGTTGTGTGCGAAGCGCTACAATATTGTGTGGCTGCTAGCTGTGCCGAAAAGACAAGGGACTCTCAGCGATGTCAGTACGGCGAAGAAAAGGACAGAGCGGTGGTGTTTTGTGCCGGTGTGCAACGTGGGTTACAACACATGCAAGGAGGAACACTCCTTTTGGACGCCGAGCGACGCCTCTTCATTCGCCAAACAGTATCGTCTGATTCCAAGAAAAAAATCTACTGCGTCACGCGATTACATTTCCTTCTGAAAACAAAACTGGTGAAGGAGAAAAAAAGGTCTAAATGAGCTGTATGACGTCAGAGACAACAAATTTCTCCAAGTGGGATTGCTCTTCAATGGAGACAGCAGTTGAAGTTGCTCCATTTATCTTGACAGTCTTTGTGTTTATTTTAATGTAATGGATCCTCTGTAGATGAAATCAATTCAGACATTTCCTGGTCTATAAGCTTTGGCTGAAAATGCAGAAGTCAAGAAAAGCTCGGCATTATTAATGCATGCTACATTAAAACAAAAGATTATCGACACCAGAAGAAAACAAGATATCTAAAACTCTGCCGAACGTACAGTTGCCGAAAAAACAAACGAGCTTAGAAAGTAAAGTGGAGAGGAAAGCATCGCATATTATACCATACTCAAACTTCGCTGTCTTAATGCTGGTATGTAGCGTGAGATAGACAATCATTCTTCTATAACAACAAAACAAAATAAAAAAAAATATTCAAAGAATCAAGATTGTAAGTATCTGACCGCTCTCAACCGGCATCTGCGCTTTGAATATAAGCTTCTGCCATTCGCGCGACTCACGCTATTTCACCGGGGTGTGAGATAGGGTGGAGCGTATTGTTTCTCGCAATCGAGCAAGCAAAAACTAACCAAGAATACGACCATTTTCACGCCGAATAAAGCAACTCTGCTGCGACCGCCAGGCCACTGTCAACCGTCGGATGGCCGCTCTGTACCGCGCTGTAAAGCCCCTCGATGTGTTTGCGTTTGTCTTACAAGTAGCGACAAATGCGCGAGTGCACGGGGCACGTGTCTCGAGCGGCATTTGGAAGCATATGGCGGCGCAGCACTAAAATGAGTGGCCCTTGGAAGCGAATGGCGGCGGAGCACCCGCTCGCGACACGTGTCTCGCGCGTTTCCATAACAATGGTTGGCGGTACTTGTAAAAAACGCCTTTATCAAGGGGCTTTACCGCGCTGTGCCCCACGGCGCCCTCACCGGCGTGCGTGCACATCGCGACACACTGACTGCCGTCGGGACGGCACGCCTCTCTATTCTAGTAAACCCTAGCGTAAGCATCAACTCTGCTTTCTCTTCGTCGATTCTCACGGATGCCATCAGGAAAGAAAGAAGATTCGACGAGCTTGACAGCGTGCTAACAGCTCAAGGTTGGAACGTCCGAAGAAGCAACAAGCAGCCAGTCCCGTTTGAACCATCCGATCGGAACCTCCAGGACAACCGCCCAGGAGAGCCCGTTCCCTTTCTGTTTTATCTTTTTCCTTTCTTTTTAGGTATTTGTCCCACTTGATGAGGCAAGTACCCTGCCGTTACATATATCTCTCTCTCATTGGTGACTCGTGGTATGACCTCCCTGACGACCGTTAGACAAGGGTAGATCACACTCGTAAACTTAAAACTTTCCTTTGAGTTTAAGATATGTAAGATATGAAAATCGTGCCCAAAGGCGGACATAAAAGACACCGGCCTGGGGCGCTCTAATCTGGACAGTTGGCAAGAAAGTCGGCGAAGAATTCGACCGCCGTTATTGAAGGCGCCAAGGTCAAGTGCGATGCCGGCCATTACAGCCACCGGATTCCTCGCCGACTTTTTCGGCAAGTATCCAGATTAGAGCGCCAGGACGGAACCCTCTAAGAGCCGCAGGAAACTCCGCTTCAATAGAATGAAAAGGGAAACTCTCTGGGCAACACCACCTAGAATACTAAAAGCCCATGAGCAACCTCCCCTCCCTCCACGTGACGTCCTCAGATTCGAATGGCACCAACTCGGCCATTGGGCCCCAGACCGACGACGAGCTTCCTTCAAATCGTGTCTGCACACGATGTCAGTGTGATGACGTCTAAATGACAGTGCACGGTCTTTGATTGTTCTAAGTTGTGTTGCGTTGGACATGTCAGACGTTTTGATAGTACTTACACCTAAAGCTTATTGAGAAATTTCTTCGCGAAATATCGGCGCTCATTCTGAGAAACGTTCTACAAGCCCTTTCTGCTAGTTTCCTCGACCTCCATGATTTGTTCGAGCGTCAACTACATCGCGTTTTAGATCTGCGTGTTTCGCGATGCTGACTGTTCATCCGCCATTCTTTAGTAGGTTGAGTTCATTGAGTCGGCTCATGAATCTCGAAAGGGTCTCCGGCTGTCGAAAAGCGCGGGCGCAGCTAAAGTATTCAAGAACGTTGTTGCCGTCTCGCTGACTTGAGGTCGTTGGGTAAAATAAAGGTCTCGCAATAACGCATATCTTTAAAAGACAACAGACACGAAACAACCTTCGTTTCGTCCGCTTCAATCCACCTGCATGTTATCGTTCTTCGAATATGCAAATTATACCAACAGGCTCGTAGAATGCCTTTGGTCTATAGTCCGTTGCAACTCAAGAGGGTAGGGTGATTGAAAGGAAGGTCGGGGAAAAGGAAGCAGACGGAACGGTGGAAAGAGGAGAGAAGGTTTCTCCTCTCCAGCGTTTCGTCTGCTTCATCTTCCCCGGCCTTTTTTTCCCTCACCCTACCTTCTTGAACTTTAACCTACTATAGTATGTTGTCGATTTTCTAAATGTTCTCTGATGTGTATTTTTTTCTCCCTTTCAATAAGTTTACGTAATGCGCTGTGTTGTAAGAGCCTCGCGCTCACTTTCCAATTTCGAATGCGCATACTGTCGCGCAAACGTCACTAAAGTCAAGCTGGTTTCTGTGTACTCGGCCAGATGGCGCGAAATATGCCTTTGAAAGGATCGGCGCGCAGCTCTATAGGCTCATATTAGCTCACGGGTTACAACCGTATACGCTGCCTGTAAATGAATGACCGATAGCAGATTTTATTGAATATACTTTTTTCAAAAGTGCGCGCCATTTTGTAGCTGCTGCGCCAACTCCCCCATTCCGCCATTGTTTGGGAACGTACTCTGAGCGTGTATTGGACACGAGGCGTGCGTCAGCGTTCGGCGTGAACTCGCCTCAGCTCGTATTGGATACGAGTGTGACGTAATCATTCGGCAGGGAAACGGATCCAATCACTCTTCCTGTTCAAGAAATGACGATCTCTAGTGTCGTGACGTCCCTTTAATAGTTCCCTCTCTCACAACCCTGGCGAGTGATCAGTATTCCTTCCAGTAAAATATTTTACGCTGGTGTTAAAAACGTCAGTTCCTACGGAGCGACATGTCTATAGAGATTGTCCATTATGAGATACGCTGCGTGCAACAGGGTCGCCATTTTGTGTCAAGGTATCAAGGTGCGTATCAAGGTTTAAAGCCGTTTGGTTTATGAGTTGCCACGCTGCACAGCCATGCTTTGAAAAACTTTGACCGTCTATCTTTCACCATGGCGCGGTACTTTTTTTTTTTGTTTTGATGCTGGGCGTTTATTGGTTGCGCAGATGGAGAGACACATCAAGTGGGACCACAAGGCAGACTTTTTTCTCTCGTGCATGGGACTTTCTGTCGGGATCGGCAACTTGTGGCGGTTTCCATACCTTGTTTTCGAGAATGGAGGAGGTAGGCCGCTCGCTCATCTCTCAACCCGCACCTACATTTATGTATGCACGCGTCTATTTGTGCCTAATTGTTGTAAAAAAAAAGTTGAGTGCAATGTCATTTTAATAAATAAACGGAAATGTACATATAACTGTTCGTTACCTTTTGGTAAATCTAATTACTGCGTACTCTGCGACGAGAGTATTTGCCATGCAGGAGACAAGAATTAAATTAATATTACAAATTGAACAAGACCGCAGTATTGTGCCTATTGATTTAATTTAGCTGATGCTACACAGGTGTATACGTAATAAACAATTGGTCACATGGTGCTGCTTCTAAATATACAACGAATCTTCTTATCTCATGCGAATAGTTATTTAAATGACAAAAACACTTTTGTTTAAATATATAGTGTGCTTCCTTCAATCACCTCTAGGACTGAGCGAGTTAAGTGTGATTTGATGGTAAATCTGCAAGGACGCATTTTGACACTTTTCTTTTTTTTTTCGTGAATAATATTTGTGTATTTACGTAGGTGCATTCCTGTTGGTATACATGATCGTACTGCTGCTTGTCGGCAAGCCACTCTACTACCTCGAGATGTTTCTGGGCCAATTCAGCAGCTCTGGATGCCTCGGGGTGTGGGCCGCTTTCCCGATGGGCAAAGGCAAGTGGCATGCCCGAATCAGGTTCCTAATCATCTTGTTTCTGCTAAGTATCGTTGCGTCACTGCTTGCTGATAGGCAACTGGCCCATAGGGTCCGTGCAACGGCTTTGCTGGATTGGTAGCTCCATCTATACTCGCGGACAACTTTCTGGGGCTATGCAGTCAAAGCTATTGGCGCATGTGCTGTTGCGGATCTTGAGAGCTCGTCAAAGGAGTGGACGCGTACTCTTAAGCTGTGAAATGCCACAGAAACTTGTCCGCAACCATAGTGCGAAATGCTCACAACATTGGTCAAGAGTTTGAGCCCGGAATCGTACTGGCCCTGTTGGACCGCGGGGAAACGATTGTGTTCGATTGTTGCTTGGCGGGAACTGCCAAGTTTTCCCCTTTTTGACCGCCGGTTGCGCTGACTAGTAATCTATTGTGGCTCCTCCCGGTTACTGCCCTGGACCTTGTACATGATCGGGGCTGATAGCACCGCATCTCTCACGATACCATTGGCTGTAACGGACCACGAAATGACCCGATCCGTTGCCACACAGGTGTGGGCGTCACCATGGCCTTCGGCAGCCTGTGCCTGGCCATCTGCTACAACATGTACCTGGCGTACGCCCTCATCTACATGTACTACTCGGTCGGCTCTCGCCTGCCCTGGACCGGCTGCTACAGTACATGGGGAGCGAACACCCGGATCTGCTACATCCGAAAGCAAGGCGTCGTGAGTGTCAAGTTAGGATCGGTTAAAGATTAAAACAGCGCAAGGACACGGACAAGAACAAGAAGGTAGACAAACAAGGCGCTGCCTTGTTTGTCGGTCAGTTAAGGAGTCCGGTCTCAGGCGCGCTCTTGTGTCACGCTTTTAAACGATTTGCATTGCCCCCGAGTGTGACCAGAAGCTCTAGAACTATAGGTTTAGAAAGAAAAAGCAGAACTGGTCGAAGAGTATATTAAACGTAGCTCGCAAGCAAATGCAGGCTTCAGGCTAGCAGCTACTGACATTTTGGTTAGAAGATTATATCCTTCAGCCCTGAACAAAGGGTTGTCCTCACATAACTCAAAAACCGGAGGCCTCACAGGTGGGCCTCCGGTTTTTTCCATGCATTGAGTTCTCGCCGAAAAAAAGTGACGTCTTTCAACTGCTTCCGATTGTCTTAATATGGTTAGGTAAAGCCAATTAGGTGGCTCTAAAGTTCGCTGACCTTTCCTATGAGTCACTTACAAAGCCGTTTTCGTGGAGAGTCGCAAATATTCCCTGAATCTCGGACATCAGGAAAAAAAATTAAGACGAATGGAAGCTGGTGACAGACGTCATTCTTTCCGGCAAGAAGACTCGCCAAAAAGACTCAAGCCCCCTGGTATGTGAGAACAGCTCTTAAGTTGAGTATTCTGGCCAAAGGCGGGGGGGGGGGGGGGGGGGGGGTCTGCTGGTTTGAGGTTTCCAGAAACGAAGGCACACCGTGCGCATGCGCAGTTATCTCCTATGGAAAGGTCAACTCTTAGCCTGGCAGTGGCCTCTGAAAGAGGGATTATGCACTCCTCGCGCCTTCGAAATGCAGAAGACGTGCAAGGCGGCGTCACAACGGCTCTACCAGCGCTTCCAGAGCCAGAACATCACATTCGGCGTGGCCGTGAGCACTCACGACAGGAATATCTTGGTGCCGCACAAGGAGTACGCTCTGGAGATGACCGGATGCGTCAACGCCACCAAGTCGGCCGCCGAACACTTTTTCTGGTGGGTGCCGACGTTAGGGTTCGCGCTATCAACTGCCTGCTTTTATTCTTTTTTTTATCTCTTTTTCGTCGGATTTGTGGAAAGATGTAGCACGGCACAGTCAAGTACACTGTTTATTCAGTCAGTTTTCGCTTAAAGACCGACGTGCAACTTCGGTTTCCTTCAGGGAGGATAATCCTCTTGGTGTCCTCCTCTTATAAATTGCGAAGGAAGCCGCCTTGGGGCAAGTTAAGAGGTGGGGAGTGTATGACTAATGAAAGTTGAAAGCGCGAGGGGTACGTTGGTCTTTAAAGGGATGCTGAACCGAAATTCGGATTTTACAAATTAAGTCCGCAGGAACGTTGAACGGGACGCTACGAACACCAAAGCATCACCCATACATTGATATCTCAAACGGACGGCCTCATTCTTAGAAAAGAAGCGAACGATCAAGTGACGAAAGTGACTTCATGATTCTCCTGGAACAGTTGAGAATAAGGGGAAGCGGCTTCGCTTCTCTTCTCCTCGCGTCGGTTTACCTGCTCGAGGGGACGAAGCGAAGAGGAGAGGGAATGGGAACCGCGACGTCACATGTCTCGTCGGCCTCGTAGGCCGTGTGGTTCAGTCGCGCACTTTTTTTTTTTTTTTTTCCCCAAAATACGGCATCCGTTAGATATTGCTGTATGAGTTATGTTATAGGGTTTTGCAGCGTCCCGCCTATAGCTCCAGCCTTGTTTTGTGAGCTCCAGATTTCGGTTCAGCATCACTTTAAACATTAGACAGTTTTAGTGGACCGTACGCTATAGCTTTGCGTACGCAAGGAGATTTCAGGTCGTGAGTTCGCATGCGCAGAACGCAATAGAAGGGCTAGCGTATTGCAAAGGCACGCAACGCTGGGTTTTTGCGTTGCTGGCTAGCGGGCCTTGCGGGACGCTCTCGAGAGATTTCGGACCCAACGAGAGCGCCAGTTTCAAGATGGCGGTTGCCTCGACTGGCGCAGCAAGGGCGACGTGGTATTTTCGAAGTTCTGTGTTACGTGAAATTGCGTGGTGTTCAGCTCGGCGATTCTTTCTGGGACCTACCGCGGTCGAATCAGATCGCCCTGCAGCTGAAGGAGTGCACAGTAGAAATGTTCGCCGCTCGCAGTGTGCGTCGACGCTGCGATCTGCTCAACGCTAAGCCTATTCCCACAGTTCATCGCCGACGGACGAACGACTCTAAAAGAAATCGCCGAAGTTCTCGCTATGCACTGGACATCACGGTCATGAATTTCGTTCCGCGATAGCATTGATAAAAGGTACCGTTTCCACGGGACGACTGACGGAGGCCCCGTGATCGCATTTGGCTACGCACTCGTACTCGTAGCCTCTGTACCCCGCAGAAAAGCGCGCTTGACGAGGCAGCTGGGGCTTGGTTTAATCTGAAATAAAATGATTGGACACTTTTTCTTTTTCAGTATTTCTTTCCAGGAGCATGGTTGCGCTATAAGCACGCGGAATTCTACGGCTCTAGCAAATTTAACCAAGATCATGCGCGCGGTGTTGCGCGGTGTTCACTCGAAAACGTAACCCACAGCTAAATTCGGTCCGAGCAGGTCATTTTTAGCGTACGCTATACTATTGCGTATTGCGTACGTATAGATCCAGCAATGCTATACTAAAACTGTCTATTGACCGACTGCCGGGCGACCGGACACTGAAAAACAACGAAAGAAGAAAAAAGAAAGAAAAGTTACTTTCATTTTGTTTAAGTGATCGCTGCTGATGTTACTTAGAGGATTAACCGGATGCAATCTCCCGAGAAGGGGAATTTTCGGCACTTTTGAGCGGCTAGTGAATTCAGTATGCGTGTAGAGCTGATTACCATTCATTTGAAAGAAAGAAAGAAGGGAGTGGGGAAGAGGACAAACGCACCGCGTGTATTCTTGTCTGCCTTTTTTTGTGTGATCGCGAATCCAGAAAGACTTGTGCGATGAACTTGTTTTCGGTCAACACCAGTAGCCAGCAATACTTCCCACCCCTCCTCTTTTTCATCCTCTCTCCCTTTTCGATGTCAGTAGACAAGGGATTCCAGAGAACCCTTTCAATAAGAACATGCGTCAGAATAATAATAATACTCAACAAATAGCTGCCGCTCCCCGCGCGAGTGCTGCCTCCGCTCCCACTCCCTCTGACATGAGAAGTATCAGACATGATGGCTTAATCAAAACAGCCTCGGCGTCCGTGCGCTACCCGTTATTTTAATGGAGCCTCCACCAGGGAATGCCCTCTTGCGCGACCAGGGACAAAGTCCTGGAGAGCAGCCAAGGGTTCGGAGACATCAAGCCCATGAAACTGGACCTGACCATCTGCTACTTCATCGTGTGGATCCACATCTTCCTCTTTACCTGCAAGGGCATCAAATGGTTCGGAAAGGTGCGCCCCCTATGCGCCAGCACGCGGCTATGACGTCACGTCGCTGTGGTGGCGCTGCTGTCGGCAACGCGCATGGGCAGACGCCTTACTTGTGAAGTGGAAGCTGGTCCACTCCTTTTTCCGTTTTAGCAGAGTGAACGCTGTAGAGGCGGTCGCCTCCCCTCCAGCGTTCGCTCTGCTAAAGGAAAGAGAAGTGGGAGGAGCTTCCACTTCACTCTTAACCTGTCACCAACTATACACCTTTTCCACAAGGGCGCAGCCATCTTGAACGTCGTCCGTTCTGGTATGCGGTAAAACATCGTTTTGATCTCTCCACGCCGCTGGAAGGTGTTTACGAAGAATGCGTGATTGTCATACATTCCTGTTTTGCCTCACCTATATTTTTTCGCAAATTCCAGGTTGAAATGTATTCTTTTTTCGTCCTGCATACCAGATACGGAACCCACGTGGCTTCCTAGCACCGAATCTAATGCCGAGGAAGTCGCACTTTTGAATCATGGCGATCGGCAGTTGCGTCTGCTCTGCAGTAAGCACCAAGATGGCGGCGCCCACAACCATACCGGGGAACAGGGTGCCGACCCTCTAAGCGCAGCTCGTTTAGTGGTTCTGGGCTTGGTCAATCGCCGACTCGTTGGTAAACAGCGGGTTTATCTATACACCTTCCCAGCGTTTATCATACAGACGAAAATTGCTGAGTCATTTAGCTGTGGACGCACGTGCGGTGTCAGGTATTCCGCGGAAGGCAGCTGCTGCGCATGCGCAGAACGTCTTTCACAGCCCAGTAGACAAAGGTGACAGCGCGCAGACGGTGGTTACGGGAATGGCCTACGCTGAGTCGTATCCGCATAACCTATGAAATAAAAAGAGGGGGGGGGGGGGGCACTATGGCCCCCTTTCGTCAATCAGAGCGGCGGAGCCAGGCACAGTATATGACAGCTCCTACCGTACGTTGTCACGTGACTCATTCCGAGCCTCTGATTGGGTCGCCAGCTGGGACCGTGGCCATCAGGTTTTGCCAAGGTATGCCGAAACGATGAAGCGTGGTCGCTAATCAAGGTCAGACGCAAATAGACCAACTGGGCTAAAGACGGAAATAGACTCGGGGTCGAGGTGAAGAATAGGTTATCTCGCATGGAATCGGCCAAGTGGTATAAATCAGATCGCGATTGGATCTTAAGTGTGTTTACCGTGCACCGGAGACTTCGAATTTGACCTCAAGAAGCGGGCTTGTGGCGCAACGGATAACGCGTCTGACTACGGATCAGAAGATTCCAGGTTCGAATCCTGGCAAGCTCGGCCACTTTTTTTGTTTTCCTTTTGAAGTTTTAACGTCATCATTCCGTCGGCATGGTTGCCATATCAAATAATTACGAACTTTTTTTTTTCTTCTCTTGTACAAAGCAACGCAGAAACTTATCTGCAAACAACCTTTTCTTAACATTATTCGGGGGCAAATGTTGGGGAGGAGGGGGGGGGGGGGGGGCATTTAAAGGCGGACATGTGAGAATTTAGTCAGAGTTAAGAAATAAATGCTCCTATAGGTGTTATATCTTACTCCTCTAATATTAAAGCGAGGATGATTTTGCATGACGTGCTCAATATTATTCTGAAGGCAACAGGAGCGTTGTTTGAACTTTGTTTTAAAGGGTATTCTATGAAGTAAAGATTTAACAAATGGCACATTTCATTTTTACCGCTCATCTAGAAAGAAAAATTAAAAAAGAAGACGCTGGTTCACTCTCTCAGTATGCAACACGCGGTGTAAAAGGATCTGACAGAACACGACCCCGATATTGCAACAAACCAGAATACGACACAGACACACTGAATTTTTAGTGTGTCTGTGTCGTCTTCAGTGTGCCTGTGTTAGAGACTTCTCAGTGTGTCTGTGTTAGAGACATTTTGTGTGTGTTGTCTTTTGGTTTTTTTGCAGTCTGTGTGGTATATTATGTCCTAATCTTCACTAACTCGTTTGCGCCCTGGCTTTTTGTTTAAAAGGTTATATTGGAAAAGAACACTAATAATAAGCCCATAGCCATATTTAGTCGTCCGTCCGATTCAAGTTCCCTCTTTAAATTACTGCCCCAAACAGTTATCGCCAGATGTACCAAATCTACTGCATGTTTAACCAGGATTGTGCTGGGATAATGTTTTCATGGCATGACACTAACGAACGAAGGCCCGATTTGTTTGTCCCTCGCTCTCTTCTCGGGGTTTGAACTACGATAAATCGATGTCTCACCGACTAGACTTCAGCCTCAAGCTCCTCTTCTATTAGTCTGGTACCGGTTCGCTTCTCCGAATGGTCTGTATCAGCTTAGCGATCGCTCTACTTCGAAAGATCCGTGCAACCTCTTGTGGTGCGCGAGGGCCGGAGTGCAGCAGAAGCTCCACCTCTAGCGCAAATCTTTCTCCCTTTGATAAGACTTCGTCGCACGGCCAGCCTAAGCCCGCGGAAGGCACTCAGCGAGCGTTGGAGGATGACAATAAAATGCTTAGATGGGCCAGTTGGTACATCATGGGAAATAAGCGCCGAAGGAACACGGACCAAGAGTAGAATAGCAACGAGACAGGGCGACAAGGGGAGGATGTCTTTCTACTAAATTCTCAGCCTGTTTACACAGTGGTCGTGCGAGCGCTTGTGCAAACATAGCCTATTGCAGAGCGCCTATGCCTTTGATAGCACGGCACAGAAATTGCGAGAAGTGTGAGCGAGTCTTTGCCCGTTTTCCACCATGGTTCTTCCCGAAGAACGGGATGTGGTAATGAGCTTCATGCAGTGCCGCCTGACACTGAACCAAGGATGTCTGCTTTTGGAAACCACGTGATAAAAGAAGGATATATCCGAAGGTAGGCTCGTCGTAGCAAGCTGTTTAGTAAAACGGCACTTCAACCGGGCTTGTGGCGCAACGGATAACGCGTCTGACTACGGATCAGAAGATTCCAGGTTCGAATCCTGGCAAGCTCGTTGAAATCTTGTGTTTTTGCAAACCTTTTAACTCAAGGACGTTCAAATATCCCAGGACCCGGCATGGCGTCACGCTCAGCGACGCCGGCAAAACAACTTAATCCCGGAGTGATTTTTCTAGCAAGGCGATGTTGGGTGGGAACAGAGGACGAACAGGCGGGGACAAACCAACGAGGTAGAGAGCTTAGTGCGATAAATAACTGGCAGATGAAGTGACCCCAACCCGGCCGCCGCCATATTGCACTTTATTGACCACAATACCATTTAGCTTTACGTCTAGATTTTAACCTATTACCACGCACAGATAATTTTTATTTATTTTTAATAACAGTAGCGACAAGATGCCATCAGTCGCGGTGCTGTATTTTGGCTTTTTATTGGAGCTATACACTGATCTTTGGGGCTAACAGCAATAAAAAAAGTTTAGCTTGTTTTTTTTCTGTTTTTTTTAAGAGCGATTGTAATACAAATTTAGGCTCAGTTTTGTGTAAAAGCTTTAGGATTGGGTACGGTCACGGGTAAAACATGGCGGCAGCCCGGGGGGGGGGGGGGGGGGGGGTTGAGGGAGGTAACTTTGGTCTGGTAAACGGGATACCAGTTCACAAACGCAACCTTCAAGTTGTTTCATTCGCGGCCAAGCGTCTGTGAAAGGTTCATAGGGCGCATGCGGAGCATGCTATAAAGGAAGAAAAAAAAAATATATATAAGGTATGAAAAAAAAAAAAAAAAAACGGCGGGAAAAATGACAAGCTGAGGATTTCTCTCGTTTTTTTTTTTTGTTTTTTTTAAGCCTCTAGCGGAAATAAACCAAAAACTAATTAGATGCTATTTTAGATTGAAAGATATGTGGCCGTGCCGGTACGCTGCGACTGCGGCGAAACAATCTTTTCACTGCCCCATTTTCAAGAACCGCGAAGGAAGATTTGTCACCTTTTCGACCTGTAGGTCGTCTTGCTCACGGCCACCTGCCCTTACCTGATCTTCTTCGCCTTGCTGATGAAAGGGGTGTCGTTGGAAGGGGCCGGAGTCGGCGTCTCTGCTGTCTTTGTTCCCGTCTGGCAGAGCATCTTCACGCTCAAGGTGCGTGGGGGACCTTTTTTGCTCGCTACGTTGATCCGGGTCATTATTTATTTTCTTTTCAATCTTTAGCTGAGTTCAGGCTTCAGACAGATTGCACACCAACAAACTCAACACGTAACGAATTTGTGTATTCATGCGTCGATTTATTTCGTACCTTCATCGCGCAGAGAACATGACAGTAAAGGGGGAAGGGGGGGGGGGGGGGCTGAAAAAATACGTAACACAACAAACACAGCATTGCAAGGATAGGACAAAAACTTGGACACAGAACTAAGCAAGAGATAAAACTGCCACTCAATATTTCATAAAAAAATTTGTAAACAGAAAAAAAAGCTCTTTTACGGCTTGTGTTGCACTGTCGTCATATTGGCGCTCACTGTGGTGGTCTTGAAGTTGATCGCGCGCTTTCCTCGCAATGCATTTCGCAGCGCCGAATTAGTTTTTCTCGGCGAGAACAAGTAGAAATGATCGCCAGCATGCTGCAGTGGCGGGACTAGCAAGCCATGTGTATAGGGACATACTTTCCCCGCTTATTGTTAACATTGAACTCTCGTATTCTCGTTGACGCCTAAGTCTTGGGCTTTCCGCCCCCGCCCCTTTTCCGCTCACGGCCCTTCGGTGCACAGTAGATATGCCATTTAAAAAGCTTGCTTTGTTCAATCGAAGCTCAGGACTTAGATATCCCAAAAATTTACACGACTCCTCAGCCCAGCGTGCGATCTCTTCAGCCCAGCACGCCCACGTTCGTCGCTTCGGAAAGCGAGCAAATCACGCGCCGTACGCACAAACACTGAAAATGAAACCGGCCCAAAATCCTTTTCTTTTTTTTTTTTGGGGGGGGGGGGGGGGTGTCATTTTTTGTTTGTGCCAAATACCGCGGCGTTACAGTCCATTCACGAGCGGTAAAATGTCGAGGAAAAAATGGTGGCCGCAGCGCATATCGTACTGCCACGTTGGCGGCCCACCGAGTATTTCAACGTCGGCGCTCGGACATTTCATACTTTCCCGGGTCGATAACTTGCCTAAGACGCCACGAGATGGCGCTGGATGACTCTGAAGCAACACACAGCCCTGCTGCAACACAGGCAACAGTATTGTACACGTCACTCGAAGGACAATAATAAATAACAATTCTAACTACAACTACTCTTGGTTAAAAAAGTATTTAAATAGGCTACTTGATTACTCGAAATAAGAAATAATTTGCCCTTAATTAAAAAGTAACAGTTACTTTTTTGATTCCTTGATAATTTCAAAAAAAGGCCGTTTTTTTTTCTGCCGGTTTGAAAACGGGTCTTCTGCACTGTCTATTAATTGATTATAATCACCGAATTATAAACTGCTTATTTTTTAATCCACCGATTTCGGTAAGCCGTTCGCCCATTGGAAACTTGGATCCAGAATTTTTTGGGTAGGAAAATTGTAGAAACAAAGGACGCCGTTAGAAAAAAGGAGGGAAGAATGTGGAGAGGAAGTCGTCTGCTTGCTGCGCGGGGGTTGTGGTGACGTCAGAAGGACGCGGAGCTCTGATTGGCTCATAATGGGCAGGCCTTTGTGAGGGTACGGATGACAGAGGCAGAGTTAAACGTTACTTAAAGGGTTTAATAACGATGGCAAATTCATACGGCGGTTATGGCGGGAACATCGCATGGCGGGAGCGTCGTCTAGCGTCCCCTCGTTGGGCCAGGCTTGGCTTTGTGAACAACAAGATGTCGGCAGGTGGCGCTAGTAATGAGCCTGCTCACACCTTAAAGCGAGATGCCTCGAGGTCTACCCACTATCCTCCATTCATAACCAATCAGAGCTCGGCATCTTTCTGACGTCACCACAACCGCCGCAAAAGAAGCAGACGAACAATGGACCTTTTCCAAATACCGACGGCACCAGGCGGTGGCTGCACGAACTAAAAATCAAGGAAGTGACCCCCCTGCGCTACCATCGATAATGGGAGCTACGTTACCAGTTGCTTCGCTCTCTGAGCAGCCTCGCGTGCCCAACGCAACGAGGTAGGCCTAGCGCGACTTTAAAGAAGGAAATCCGTAGCGTCCACCCAAACGTCGTGTTTTTCTTTCCGTCCACTTTCTTTTTTTGTGTAACACAATTATATATATGCTGCAATTACGTGTTCCACTCGTCGATTTACAGCCTCATTCCGAATTTCCTCGATTTTTTCGTGCCGACTTCCACCGCTTGGCATCGGGCGCTCGCGCGTGCGCAGAACGCTTCTCGGAAAAGGTCCATTGTGCTCCGCATGGGATCCGATGGAGCCACTCAAGCAACGCCAAATGTGCAGCGTCACGGCGCTCGTCGTCTTTGTGCGTCTGCTATCGAGTCCTTAACCAATCACGCATAAGAATAAAAAAAAAAAGCGCGCGATTATGGTACGTTCACTGCGTGTGATTGATTTCGCCGGTGATAGCGGACAGACAAATATGACGAACGCCATGACGATGCGCTTTTTGGTGCTCTTGAATGGTTCCACCGGCAGCGTCGGCAACTGCGCTTGGACTTAAATTCCCTAGATAAGAGAGAAGTTTCAAAGGTTTTTACTTATACTTGGTGCGAAACAGAGTTCACGTATAATATTATTACACTATTACCCGCAGCAGGTCACGCGCTCCCCTTAAAGCCGGGGTCACGCTGCTTGTGTACATCATGCCAAAGACAGTCTAGTCTGCACACAGATTCGAACGCGAGTGACCGCGAGATCCGTGCTTCGAATGCTGCGGGGCAATGAGTTCGAGGAGAAAAACGGCGGCATTCGAACCACGGATTGCTCCTAGGTCGTACAAGCGACACGGTGTTCGCTGCAGGCACGATGACAACGCTATCTGCGGACAAGCCTTACGCATGTTTGAAGCCGCGCTTCGAACGTCTGCAGACAGTTTTTGCGTGACCAAAGAGAATCGTTATATAAGGAAGGAACATCCTCGAGGCAGTGTCTGTAGAAAGGTGACCGCAGCTCACAGGGAAAACTAAAGATAGCTCTTAATATTTCTTCTGCACCATCGTAACCTTTCTTTTTCGGTCCGTCACGGATGCACCGGACGAATGAATCGGATAATTTTATTGCGTCCTCGTAATGACTTCCTCGTCCACGGACTTTGTTGCGGACCTTGCAGTGTTGGCGAGTGGCCATCGAGCAGTGCGTGCTGTCCCTTTGCATCGCCACGGGATGCCTGAGCGTGCTGTCGAGCTACAATGACTTCTACAACGACATCTTCCAGTGAGTCCCCGCAACAGCCTTCCTGGCGTCGGGCCTAACTAAACGTTGTGAGGCACACTTGCTCGCCACTTTTACGACGTTCATCATCATCACTACCGATGCTTAGTTTGAAAAGTTTTATGAGCGGTCCAGGGATAACTTTCATTGAATAATTCGAGAGGCTACGCAGACCACTGATGGACAGGGGAACGTCTACGAGGACTGAGAACGACAGTTGTTTCATCTATCTTTATCTGACGCGTCCGCCAACGGTGTTTGACATAGACGTGAAAATTAAAACAAAACAATACGACGAAGTGGACTCAGCTGTCGGAATCCTCTCGTTGGTTCAACTTGCATTGGATTGGATTGAATCGTAGCGGTGTAGACCTTGGCATAGGGCCATCACGGTGTGAAGGACCGGACTTGGCCAAAATCTGGTGAAAGAGAAACCAGCACTGTTACTGTATTACGGGAAGGTATACATGCAGACTCCTGGGAGTGTCGGGTTACTTAAAGACTAGGAACTGCGGGACGTGGTAATCTCATTTTATCTCTCTGTAACTGGAGAGCCAATCAAATATAAAATATGAAATAACTACACTGCCTGGACTTATTGCATGTTCCTATATTTTTTTTTATACATGTCTTGAAAATGGCGCGATGACATCGTGGACAAATTAATTTATATGCGGGACCTTCGGATCCACCCTATTCGGGAAGCCCGCTATGTTTGTTGGGTCAACGACGTCATTCACCCAACGCTCGGCGTCCCCTCGCACGGCACCCGCAGACTTGGGTCCTTCGGCGTCTTGATCTTGAGCTTCTTTGTTTACCTTCCGCGTTTTCAGCACGCGGTTTAGAGACGATGACGTCTACGGCATCGCTCGCTTCGTCGATGTCTTTGACCCTGATCGCGGCAGCGATGAGAGTGGTTGTTATCAATAGCTGGTTACTTTGACTTCGACCCGCTAGCGATCGGCTCCAGTGACGACGACGAGATCGTCACGTACGAGCTCACTGTAGAGCATGCAGAATGGAAGGTTAAAGGGCAGAGGGTCGAGAGCGAAAGTAGCGTCGGAGTAGCCGAGCAGCGTGAGTGTGCGATCATACCGCGGCGAGGCTAGCTTGCAGCAACACGAGATGGATCAAAGCCTGCGCACTAAAGTTTGACGTCATCACAGCGAGATGGAGCGAAGGCGCGGATTGGATACGAGTGTTGCGTCGGCGCTCGGCTGGGTCTCGTGTCCAATCAACGCGTCGAACGACGCTCGGCGCTGGGCTCGGGTCCAATTGCTGAGTTGGCGCAATCCGATTGTGATGACGTTTCATGGAGGAAGAGTGGGGCGTTCGGAGGCCTTCATTAATCTAGTAGATGGCGTCAGTGTCGGGTAAAGTGCCTCTAAAAAGTACGTCAAGCAAAGTAGAAAGTAAATTAGAAGTTATTTACTTCAAGTAAAGTAGTAAGTGCACCTGGCGCAACGTACTTGAAAAGTAAAGTACAAGTACTTTTTAAAACAATCTTTCGTGATGCGCTTTCATTTTCCTGTAGCGTTTTTTTTTTTTTTTTTTTTTTTTTTTAATTGGTATGCTTTGTTTAAGGGGTAATCGGGGGTGGGGAAGTTATTTTTGGAAATGAGATAAAATATTGGACAAAGTCAAGACGTGGCCACGGAGTAATTATTAAGCCAGGCGTAGCGTTGGCCAGCCGAACGCTACGCCTGGCTTACACTGACATTTCTTAGGTAAAGGAGAGAACCCTCCTCGTGTGTGCTGATGAGATGTAAAAAGCGGCCATGTTTGGTTCGCTAAGTTATGTTTTTTCGTTACCTCCGTCCCTTGATCTTTGTAGCGTACATGTTCCTATTGTATACCGGTGTGATTTACGTCTTGCAGTTTACAGTGTCAATAAACTTTTCTTTAAACCCTGTAACTTCTACCGATGTACCTGTTCTGAAAGCCAAAATAGAAGTCACGTGCAGTTCTTCGAGTGGCCGCTGCGGGAGAAATGGTGGCGTTGTGTTCGTCATTAGCTCGGTGCTCGGAGACATATTGGGGCCATTTTTTTAAAGCTGTCTTTATGGTTGTTTTAGGTGTGTTTTAGTAACGTTGCTTACGATGAACGTTGAGGCTTCGGTGGTACCGTAGATTCAATGATAGATGGATGCATGCGGCTGAACTCAATGAATCGGGCGACTACTTGTGCCACCTAGCCAGGGGATGAATGGATGGATGCATAAATCCGGCTGAGCCCTTTGGATCGGGCGGTAGCTTACGCCACCTAGCCATGGGATGGATGGATGAATCCGGCTGAGCCCTTTGGATCGCGCGGTAGCCTACGCCACCTAGCCATTTTGTTTTACCATTTAAGCTTGAAATATTTAAATGTGAAATGTATATTCACTCCGCACTGCAAAGAAAGTAAGGCTATAAAAACCCCCCTTGCCATCAGTTAATAAGAAAATACCTAGTTTTCTCTCGCTTTCTGCCACCATTCACTTAATCTTTGCTTGGTAATATGTACAGTCTTGAAATCCACTCTCCCTTCGCTGTCTCTAAAACCCAATGACTTTATTAAATCTATGTTGTCATCGGCAGGCATAGGGTGAAGCCTGCAGTCAGCCATTTTTCCCTATAAAGGCGACATCTAGCGGCGGTCATCCGAACTTACTTCGAAAAAATGTTCTGTGCCGACTTGCCAAAAAACAAAAAAAGACGACGCAAGTATTACGCATGCGCGAGGTGTTTGTGCATGCACTATGGGTGTGTTGCCAGTTCCGACGGAAATATTTTCTGCTATTTTATGTGTCCCCGTTTCTCCCGAAGCGCACGAGTTCCCGCCGCTAGGAGGGACGAGGGCTCGTGCATTCTCATGGGCGTACCAACCGGGAAGGCTAGGGGGGTGCTTCCCCCCCCCCCCCCCCAGTTCTCAGAGTGTGGGGGGGGGGGGGGGGCAAGGCATGTGTTTTTCCCCCCTCCGCCTTTCCCTGAAACAGCCGTGACTGAGCAGGGCCAACGCTATCCGGCGGCGCCCAAGGGACACCATTGGAAACCGCCCCTCGTCCCTAGGGGGCGGGGGGGGGGGGTCTGGTTTGCCACCCCCCCCCCCCACCTCAAAACCAAGTTGGTACGCCATTGTGCATCGTCAGAACTCTTTTCAGAAAACGCCATAAAAGTTGCAAACTACGGTCGTGTACCTCACCCGCAGGGACGCATGGTGTTTCGCCATACTGAACTTCATCTGGGGTGTGCTGTCGAGCACCGCCATCTTTTCCACGGTGGGCAGCATGTCGGTCACGCTCAACACCAGCCTCTCAGAGATCGTCATGGACAACAGTGAGTCGCTATTTGCGTTTCTGGTTTCACACGTTCATTTATACTTTCTTTCAAAATCTGACGTACTGCGTTGCCGTTTCATTCATCTTAAACTTATTTGTCGTTTATTTGGACATTACCGCATGTGGTGTTTAGAAAAATTTATTTACAACAGTGGTGTCATGCCCATAACCAAACCAAAACCCGAGAACGCGCTATGTACAGTATATAGTCTTTCAAGCTAGCCAACCCCGTGCCTAAGGCGCGGGCACGCCCACACCCAGCCCCCGAAAGCTAGAGCGAACGACCCGCCAGAACGGGCGCGTCACCACACGCTCCGACACAACGTGCACGTTCGTCTCTCGGTCGTCGCAGTTCGGGCACTGATCGGTGCGACACACGCCCCACCGAAGTAGCCGGTCTCGTGTGGGAAGCACTCCCCAGCCTCGCTGCCACTCGAAGTCTCGAAGGTGTCCTGGAAGGTTGGAGGATGTGAGGCGGACCCATGGGAACGAATCCGAGAGTCCAATCTGCACGGGAGTGAGCTGTGGTTCCAACAGGGCTTGGGCAAGGCGTGACGCTGGTGTTGTCGTGATGTCCAGTTGAGGCGCCTGCTCCACGAGGCGGCGATACAGCTGAAGCGCCTTCCAGTAAGTCGGCGGCGGTGTCTCAGCGCAGGCACCCGATGGGCCGGTGAGGTCGACACCCAGGTCTCGGCGGGAGTGCCCCACGAAGTAGAGAGCGAGAGATCTGGCCGGGTTCTCAGCCTCGTGTAGGATCATGAGCATGGTCTTCAGCTGGAGTAGCGCGGGCGTGCCATCCACGCAGGGGAAGCCCCATCCTCCCTTCTCGCGTGGGAGGGAGAGCACCTGACGGGTGACGAGCTCGCTTTTCTTCATCCAGAAGAACCTGAACAAGGAATTTCGCACTTGCCTGGTGAAGCTACGCGGCGGTACTACGGAAAATGCCAGCATATAAATAAGGTAAAAATTGCTGTAAGACTGCGGATGAATCGGTAGGTTTATAGCACAGCGTGAATGTCGACTATGATGGTGTGTGCCAGAATGTCTGAAGAAGCGTTTCGCCGACCCCAGGATGGTCATGAATGTCGACTATGATGGTGTCTGCCAGAATGTTCGAAGAAGCGTTTCGCCGACCCCAAGATGGACATGAATGTCGACTATGATGGTGTCTGCCAGAATGTTCGAAGAAGCGTTTCGCCGACTTCAAGATGGACATGAATGCCGACTATGATGGTGTCTGCCAGAATGTTCGAAGAAGCGTTTCGCCGACCCCAAGATGGACATGAATGTCGACTATGATGGTGTCTGCCAGAATGTTCGAAGAAGCGTTTCGCCGATTCCAAGATGGACGTGAATGTTGACTATGATGGTGTCTGCCAGAATGTTCGAAGAAGCGTTTCGCCGACCCCAAGATGGACATGAATGTCGACTATGATGGTGTCTGCCAGAATGTTCGAAGAAGCGTTTCGCCGACCCCAAGATGGACATGAATGTCGACTATGATGGTGTCTGCCAGAATGTTCGAAGAAGCGTTTCGCCGAGCCCAGGATAGACGCAATGTTGAGATGGACGAGCTGTTTCTTTCTTTCTGATCGAAAAGGGTGAATCGCGAGTCGGCCCTCTAGGTGATTTGGAACATACCATAGTCACAAACAGTTTAGAAAACTCGAACAAATTCACGCGTCTTGTTTAGTGATCTGCTTACATCTGCGTGCTATGCAAAAAGAAAGCTTCGAAAGGAACGCGAATATCTTTCCACCGGTAAGTTCGTGGATTGTTGAAGTTCATAAAACTGCTCTGATGAAATAATAGACCCTTTTCAAAAGTCAGAGTCCTCTTGTGGCAGTATAAAAAGCTCCATTATTGCCGCTCTAATGGCGGTGATAGGAGATCATGCGCGGCTAAATCAAACACCCTCGATTCCGTGCATCGAAGGTGACGTGAAAGGACCAACATCTTTTCCTTTTTTTGCTCTATGCTTTCGAAGACGTTCGATTTTTCTGGTGTGGAGAAACAGTGTAGTTCCGCCATTAGAGCGTCGGGTCTGGCTCTGCACAAGGTGGGTAGACTGACTTTCGTAAAGGGTCTATTACATTTGTGAAATCCAAGGCAGTTGGTAACCATGTGTGGGACCCCGAGGGTCTGCCTGCATGCTCCGCCGCTTGCGGCAGCCAGAATGCATGGGAAAATGGCGGACGTTTTCCTCTAGAGTTAGTATGTATGATCTCTATGTAGCCCGTCCGGCCCTGTCCCCCTCCCCCTTTGACTTCTGGCGGCTGTTCGCGGTAGCAGAGAGAGCTGACGGTTTTGTGGACCTAGAATAGATGGCGCTACTAAAACTCCGTATAATAATAGTTTTGTCGATGATACCAGGTTTTTAACGCATTTATATATATGTTGGAACGACAAGATTTATAGAAAAGTTACTTTTTATTGAGCAGGTATTTGCACAACTTGCTATCTTTCTACAAGATTCCCCTTTGACGTCACGCCGCGTGTTTCTCATGGCTGCCGCTCGCGGCTGCAGGTTGGGAAATATTTTAAGTTTTGCCTCGCTATTACGCGACGGAATCGCAACATTTCAATGAAAGGAAGTGTGTTTTCTGTCATTTGTGACAAGGTGAACAATATCAAAAGCAGGAGATGCCAATTCTTTCAACGTTAAAATCGTTGTACAGCTCCTTTAAGCCTGGTTTAGACAGTTGCGTTTGACTACGTTTGACTGCGTGGTGGCTGCGAGAAACCAGGACATCCCTGCTGCTTATATCGCGTGCCAAGCTCAAGCTGATTCCTTCAATTGGATTCCACGCTTCATACGAATCACAAATGTGCCGGTGATTCGCTTTCGGTTCTCGACGCAACGCAGTTAAACGCACTCAAACGCAAGTGTCTGGACCGGCCTTCATTGGACCCATAGTTCGTCAGCAGTGGAAAGTTGATCAAGCATCGCTTTTGTTGTGTGACTTTCAAAACTTATGCACCGCTGCCGAACACAGCAGCTGTTGAAACCGCCGCTTTGGAAGTGTGTAACTATTGTTTCCTTCGGTGGTGCTTTTGGTCTCTCTATCGACATGAGTGAAGAGGGCAAGAATGTTGCGAAGGCCCTTGTCGAACTGAAACGGGAGCTGAGGGCCGACCTAAGGATTTCGAAAGCAAAAAGGGGTAAAGGGACACTGACAGGGTATCTATGTTCGCCAAGGTTTTAGTTGTACGTGACACATGAGAGCCCAACTACCCAAGACACAATTTGCAGCTTGAAATTCGTTTCCTTTCTGCCCGTAAACCGCCGATCAAGAACTGGCCGGTTTGAGTCGCGCTCACTTTCTTCTCCGTGTTCACGTGCCATTTTCTATGGTTTAGACACAACCACCAAAGATAATCAAAGTCGTGGGCATCCGAAGGCACACACTCAATAATAAAAATAGATAAAAAATATGATACACATTTTTGGTGGCTTCTAAAGAATTGTAAATAAGGTTATAAAAAAAAAGTTGCACAACCACGTGACTTCTGGTAACCTTCTCCTCCTCTACATTTATTCTTCCTCCCCACTCCAATTTCGGTTTTCGTTTCGAGCAGTTGCTTTTTTCTTTTTCTTTTTACTTTATTAAAAATATACTTGACGCTGTAGTAAAATATTGATTGGGTAGTCGTCTGACACCATAATAAATCGCCTGGCAAAAATGAAAAAAAAAAAGAAAAAAAACATCTGGGGGCGGGTGTCAGTGTCCCTTTGAACATTGTGGCGACACTTGCGACGGAGTAAATGAAATTAAAAACGAACTCAAGGAGCTGCGAAAAGAAGTACAGCAAAAGGCGAGCGGGTTGAACATGAATACATAAAATTGAAAGAAAGCAACTTTTGAGAAAAAATGAAAGCTGTTTACAACTCCCTGTAACGCCGCATTAGAGCGCAGCTCTTGAGGAGGAGGATGCAAGGGTACTGAGGGAAGGGTATACCCGTCCTCCCTCCTCCTTACCCCGTCATCCTGCCTGCTACTCCGCCACGGCGGCCACGTGGCCCCCGTGAGGTCACGTGACCTCAAGGGGGGTCACGTGATCAGGGGGGTCGCGTGACCTCAAGGGGGGTCACGTGACCTCACGGTTACGCCGACGCCGACAGCGACGGCGACGCCGCTCAAGCCGGAAACGGGCTCCTAAGAGCTACGCCCTAAAACGAAGAGTTAACCGCAGAGAACTGCCGGTTAAGTGAAAAAGTTGATGAACCCGAGCAATATCAAAGGTCAAACAACCTTGAAATAAAAGGTGTACCCGAAGCAGACGACGTGTATGACGTTGTGAGGAGAATCGGGGACGTTCTCGACGAGCCGACCTTAGATTCGGACATTGATGTATGCCACCATGTCCCAACCTTCAGATCATTCGAGAAAAAACATAATTGCTCGCTTCGTGCAGCGAGCCAGACGAGACAACATCTTGAAAAAGGGCAAAAGGCAGAGGAGGACAACAAAAGGCCTAGAGCACGGTGGGAAGGGCGGCCCTATGTACGTGAATGCGCACTTAATAAGTTTAAACAAAAGGCTCCAGGGTGCTGCAATCGCAAGAAAGAACCGTAGGCTGGAAATTCAGGTCGTCTGAAGGGACAATCCTTGCTCGTAAAGATAACGGGGCAGTTGCGATCCGTATTGCTAGCATGGCCGATGTGGAAAAAATAACAAATTAAATATCAGAATTTCTTGTGCGAACGCGAGTCAATGATCATCATAGATAAGGCTCGGTATTTACTCCCTACTCAGCTCAGATCTTATCTACAGCATGAACCAAAAAATTCTTTTACGTGTTTCCACCTAAACAGCAAGTCAGCAAGAAATAAATGCGATGGCCTAGAATTTTTTATTTATTTTTTTTAATCGAGTGAATTCTAGCTTTGACGTGATGATGCTCTTGGAAACATGGTAAAACGATAACTCGCGGATGCCTTCACGTTGCGGGATTATAACAGTAATTGCCTTAATCGCCTCACGCGGTGTGGAGGAG